TAGATCCCTTGCAGCTTGCCTGGGGTCCAAAGGAAATGGAATCCTTTGTTGCAGCTCAAAGCCCCAAATTGATCCAGGAAAACAGACACTGAGGCCTTCCCCATTTGTTGTGTAAGGACCAGCAGCTCTGCTGGATGAGTTGGATGCTGAGGGGCTGAAGGAATGAGCCTGAGGAAGGGGCTAAAATGATGGATTTCCCAGGGGCTGGAATGACAGCTTCCCAAAGCTGGCCAGCCTCCTGGTTTTCAGGTCACTTTAGCTCATCTGGGGCCTGGGGGTGGGGGGAGGTACCTCTAATGCCTAGCTGTTCTTAAAAGGATTGGCTAAATTTACAGCTCCTAATGCCATTTGTCACTGCACAGGTGGCAAGGCCTGCTTAGCAGTGGCTCCAGCTTATTGTCTCTGGCCCACAGGGTGTCCCCTGATATGAACCTTTCCTTTTCCCCTAGGCATGTAGCCCTGAGGGAGGGTGCTGCAGAGCTTCTGGGCTCAAAGCCAGGGAGGGCCAGCCAGAGGGAGGAGGAGAGAAGGACACCCAGGCAGAAACCCCTGTACTTGGTGCTGGCTGTCTATGGAAACCACACAGCTCTGTGTTCAACAGCAAGGGCTGGGTTGTGAGGGTCTGGGAGAAGGGACATCAGTGTAGGGAAAGGTGTCTTTCCATCAGAGAATGGATGTTTTTCATTTCTGGTCTTAAAAATAAGTAGTAATGGACCTGGGGCTGTAGAGGCAGCCTGAGTGTAGTCTGGAATGAGGTCCCTTAGCACATACACACTGTCCCAGGAGGAGAGAGGGGCTCTCTCTTTTCCTAGACATCCAGAGATGTGCCCTTTCTCCTTTCTGGGACTTACAAGAGTCCCCAGCCCCTCCTTCACAGTGTGTCTGCTTCAGCCATACCCCTGCCTGCAGTCTCACGCAGCTACCCCTTTGGTGCCCATTGCAACAAGTGCAGCCTCAGCTTTTTTCTTCCTTCCGCTGGCTTTTTGGTCCTCTCTATTCATCACCTGGCAGGGAATGGGATGGGAGGGGACAAGGTCCCAAGGGACCGCTGCAGGCGCTCCTGGGGCATGCCTTCCTCTGCATGCCCTGTGTCAGGGGTGTCCTTGCTTCTCTTCTACCCCCTCTCCTCTCCTTTCCCCTTTCGCCATGGCCTCAGCCTCCTTGTTCACTTTTGTTGAGCATGAAGACAGGAACCTCCCCTCTCTGGTGGCTCCCAGTTCATCCAGCTATCCAGTTGTATGGGATTTTCCCATCTTCCCTTGCTGTGACTGAGAAACTGAGCCAGAGGGGCCCCTTTCTTACTGTAGATGTGGAGGAACCTGTAGGTACACACCCTAAAGAACTGAACACATCAGTGTAGCCAGATATTTACACACCCACATTCAAAGCAGATTCATCACAGCCAGATGTGAGAACAGCACACATGTCAGTTAATGGGTAAATGAATGGCTGGACTAAATACACACAATGTTATTTTAATATAATATTATCCATAAAAGCACATGCGATTCTGACATGTGTCAGCATGGGTGAACTTTGAATGCACTATGAAATAAACCAATCACAAAAAGATTGTATGACTCCACTTATTAAAAAGTAGCCAGAATGGGAAAGTTCATAGAGTCAAAAGGAAGAAGATGGTCACCAGGACCTGTATTGCAGGGCTGATGGATTAGTGCGTAATGGGAAAAGGGCTTCTGTTTGAGATGATTAGAAAAAAAAAGTTCTAGAAATGGAAGTGAGTAGTGGTTGTAGTTGCATAACATTGTGACCATATGTCACTTAAAGCCACCAAGTTTGTGTATACTTAAAAAAATGTTTAAGATGTTTATACACACACACACACACACACACACACACACACACACTTTTTTTTTTTTTGTCTTTTTGAGACAGGGTCTCCCTGTAACCCCAGCTGGCCTGGAACTCACTTTGTAGACCAGGCTGGCCTTGAACTCACAGAGATCTGCCTGTCTTTGCCTCCCAAGAGCTGGGATTAAAGGCATGTGCCACCATGCCTGGCTTATATTTTTTGATACAATGAAAAAATAGTTGGCAGGTAGGGGATTGTAGCCTAAAAGTACTGTCCCTCCTGATGCTGCCTACTCACTTGCAGAGGGCATAGAACCTGACTTTGTTGCTTTGAGGCAGCGGGGCGGGGGGGGGGGCTCCACCTCCCCGAACAAGGGGCCTCAGCTCCCCAGGAGGCACTATGGTAGAGGCAGAAGGAATAGAGTCTCTGTAAACTGGGTTCCCAAGGAGAGAGTAGAGAAATGAATGCAAGGGAGGGGTGTTGTGGGTCTGGTCACTATCGTAGGCAGCTGAGGTTCAATCTGCTGAGACCCACTGAGGGATTATGAAGATGCTGCCTCAGAATTGTCATCTGAGACCATTAAAAGTAGAGAGCATTGTTCACATCAAGGGCTGCCCTGAGGAGCCTCATATTTCCTGGTTAGAGGGAGCAGGAGCCAGGTGGGGCCCTGTAGGTGTCTGCTGTCCCAGGAGCCCTAAGCAGGTAGTACCTGAGGTGATGCACTATCAGCCACATCTGAATCAGATTAGACAATCGTGGCTGGAATAGGAGGGAACCAAAAAGACATGAGGATACCAGAGGAGTCCAAGATGGATGCCCATGGGTCAGTCCTCTTTTCCCCATGGGTATCAAAATATTGCAGGATCCAGATGAGTCACTGATGCCCGTCCTTCGTGTGTGAACCAAGATGGTACTGGGGTTATTACCATGCCTCATAGGATATGATGCAGCCCATGAGACTCACTTGAGAGTCCAGCAGAGGTGACCGGAGGCAGAGCCCACATTTAATCCTATGGAAATAACTCCATGTCAAGTTCCTGCAAAGATCAGTTCTCCAGTGTGCAGGAAAGTCCTGGATAAGGTCAGTAGTCTTTGAGGAATAGTGGGTACAGCCTTAGGTACTGACCATGCCTGCAGGTAGCTCCTTTGCAGTCCCCTCAGGACATTGGCCTTTTCATTCCCATCCAGGCCACTTGCGCAGGGCCCAGGCCCTGAGCCTGAACAGACTGCCCTCTGCACCTGCCCTCAGGTGGTGGAGACTCTGGGAGGGGGAGCTTGTACATACAGTACTTGAAGAATTAACTGCTCATTGGAGGGGCAGTGGGGAGTGGAGAACAGGGACTTATCCTGAGGGCCTATGCAGACTGCCAGCAGGTGGGAGGGAGAAGAGTCGGTGGGGTATGGATACTGTCGCACTGACCAGTGTGAACTTGGGTACCATTGTCTAACCTCTCTGAGAGACCACCATTCCCCTTCTAATGCCATGCTTATAGGTGGTGTGGAAATGGGCTGTGAGCTATGAGGGTATAGCTTTGCTGAGAAGGGTGCCCCAGCATGTGATATGGGTGCAGTGACCATTCACAGTTCTATTATTAGAATTGTCATATGCACGTAGCCATGCTGGGTAAACCCTTTGCCTGCTAGCCTGCCATCAAGCCAGGGGGTTGGAATGACTCCAGGTGGCCTCTAAGTCACCACTCTACTATTCTGTGAGTGGGGGAAAAAAAAAAAAAAGAAGTCTAGGTTCATAAACAGGGATAAGCAAAAGCATGGAGGAAGCATTCCCGCAGCTTTTCATGCTGTGGAGCGAGGTACCATACCCTCTGGGACTTAACTAGCGACTGCTGTCATCTCCTGTAAGTCAGATGCTCAGCAACCAGGCAGTGCTTTCTCCCAATCACTAGCATGCTCCAAGGATGGAATTGGAGAGTCCACATTCATGATCTCAGCAGTGCTTCTGCGGTACAGCTGAATGCTCCACTGACCCTTGATTATTAGCAAATAACGGTGTTCCAGAAGAACGCCCAGGAATCTAAGTGTTGACATCTAAATATTCCTTTCAGTGCCCGGTACCTCACCTCTCTTACCTGTTGCAGCTTCACAAGGCCTGTGAGGTGCCCATGTCCACTCTCCAGATCTCTTTGTTGTTTTGCAAGGGGTGAGATGGTGGGATAACTTCCAGTAGTTGTACCATGAAACATGCAGGCTGTTTCCTCCGGCTGTGCTGCATAAGATCTTCCTTGAGATCACAGTCTTCAACTGATAAACAGGATATAGGATAAGCTTTAAAGTCCTTTGCCATCATGCATGGAGTCCTTAAGATCATGCAATGAAGAAGAGGGCCCCTGGAAGGGAAAAGGGTTCTAGCTTTTCAGGTACCGTCAGGTGTGACTGTAGGAGACAAGGAATGACAGAGGGCAGTGGTGGGATCCCAGTAGGTTTAGACCCCCATAGGCTACACTGACCATCTTATTGGAGGGCTATAGTGTTTATCCTAGATACAGCCGGTCATGTCTGTCAGGAAGAGCCCAAGAGTGGGCCAGAGGGCTTCTGGGATGGTTACGCTCCTCTGGAGGATGACCAGGAAGTGCCTGTGACTCAGCCACAGTCACATAGATAACCCATCAAGCTTTTAACATTCAGTCATTAAAAGCCAGTCCCATTCCTTCAGACCGACGTAGCATGTGTGCACAGCAAAGCTGCATGGCTGTGCTGATAACCCGAGGCCCACAGTTTGTAGGACAGTCTAGAAAACAGAGAAAGTCTCTTAGGAGGCATTTCTTGGAGGGCCTATCTCTCTCAGAGTATTTGTGTCTTACAAGGCCCCAAATCTCCTAATTCCTGGATCAGGGATATAAAGATCTATGGTCTGTCCTGATTTTAGTAGATTTTAAGTCAGGTTGGACAGTAGAACTCAGTGCTAGTTTGGGTTTACCATCTGCTCTGTCAGGCAATGGGTGCTAGCCCCAGTCATGCTGGACAGTAAAAAGCAAGTTACCTGTGCCTTCCCTAGCCTCAGTTCCCTTCCTAGAGGGAACTCAGCATGTTCTTTATACTAAAGATAAGTCAATACTCATCTGGCAGGTGGGAGACCAAAGTGCTTCTAAGAGTGGAGAGTATTTCCCAAGTGGGGCTTTGTCCTGACCTCCAGCAGCATTTCACGGAGGCTGTCTGTGCTCTTCCTCAGCAGCCGGCCCAGGCCCCTGAGCTGGAGGGATGGAGAACTCCTCAGCAGCGTCGGCCTCCTCCGAGGCAGGAAGCAGCCGCTCCCAGGAGATCGAGGAGCTGGAGCGCTTCATTGACAGCTACGTGCTGGAGTACCAGGTGCAGGGGCTGCTGACGGACAAGACAGAGGGCGACGGCGAGAGCCAGAGGACACAGTCCCACATCTCCCAGGTGAACATTGGACCAGGCCCAGGAGCTTGGCAAACTCAAAGGTTTGATACTAGAACCCCAAATTCTGGCAGTGTCTGTCACTGGTCCTAGACTGCCAGGGTGTGATGGTTCCACCTGACACAGCATCCAGAATCTTAGAGGCTTTGGGGTTTCAGCTGAGCACCCCAAACTCCTTCCCACCCAGCCAGACCATCAGGCTTACATTCTTGATGAGCTATGGAGATCATAGCTTATCCATAATGCATGCCATCAGAGAACTTGTGGATGTTTTCTCTGATTTCAAAGGAGGCAGTTATTGGCCACCCAAGAAATGCATCTGGAGGACTGTTCCCTAGGGTATCCCTGTGTTTAGATGCTTGAGGAATTCAGACCAGCATCTCAGACTGGTTTCTTCATCCTGGGTCAGTCTGTCTTAGCCCTGGCTTTGGAGGGGAGATGACTTTACCCTTATCTGAAAGGGCTGTGATGTGAGAGTCTTGAGCCATCCTGGTATCACATGCGCCTTTGCCCCATACCATACATCCCCAGTAGATACTTTCAAGAGTTGGTTCCAGATTTGCCTCTAGCTGCTTAGTTTTCTTATCTGGCAAATGGGATTATCCTGTTGCCTCAGGGGTGCTGGAAGATCAAGGAGAGAACAAACATGGATGATAGAAGCTTCAAAGCAGCAGATTCTCTCCATGCAAGGAGACACAGAAGGGCCTTCAGTCCAGGATCGGCATCCCAGGGGCCCCTCGTGTAGTAGGTATCCCATTTCAAGCCTGGGTAGACAAGTAGAGGAATAACTACTTAGAAGCTCTGCCATGGAGAAAGGCCAAATGCAACTACCTGGCTTGCTGCCTAGAGGGGAGAACATCTAGTCCTTCAGCTTTTCAGAAAGGCAGAATGGAGCTCCAACCACAAGTCAGCCTGGGACTTAAACAACAGGGGTCTTCTGCCCCATCCCACTGGGGAGCAGGGAGTGGAAGATAGCCAGCCCCTTGCTGTTTTCCTCAGTGTCCTTGATCTAAATAAAGCCACAAGCCTGTGAGCCTGTAGTTTTCTCATTACCCAATCCACAGGAGTAGGGGGGCTACCCACCCTATGTGGGACTGCCCAGGTCTCCAGATCAGGAGTGAACACAACTGGCACAAACCTCCACCCTATGGAACTTCTGTTTTGGTGGCTGGTGACCATCTCCATAGAGCAACAGCAGAATGCAAGGAAATGGGAGAGGGTGGCAAGGAGGATCCAGGGGGTGGGGCTTGCAATGTTATTCATTTATTTACTTGTTTAATTTTTTAATTTAATCTTTTTTGAAGCAAGTTGGCACTTTTTTTTAAAGAAAAGGTCTTGACAAGTTTAAGCAGGCATCAAAACAGCTAGAGAATAGCATTTAAGGGAACAGCACACATCCAAGGCATGAATATGGACTCTCTCAAGAGAGAGCTGCTAGTTTTGAAATCTTTTAATTTATTATTTTTATTTTATGTGTATGAGTGTATTGCCTGCATGTATGTGAGTGCACCCCTGTTGTGCAATGCCGTGGAGGTCAGAAGAGGGCATGGAATTCCCCCGGAACTGGAGTTCAGGACGGTTTGTGGCCGCCGTGTGGATTATTTTATTATTTTTATTTTATGTGTGCGAGTGTATTGCCTGCATGTATGTGAGTGCACCCGTGTCGTGCAATGCTGCGGATGTCAGAAAAGGGCTTCAGATGCCCCTGGAACTGGAGTTAAGGACGGTTCGTAGCTGCCTTGTGGGTGCTGGGAATTGAACCCGGGTCCTCTGCAAGAGCAGTCAGTGCTCTTAACCACTGAGCCATCTCTCCAGCCCCAGTTTTGCAATTTTTAAAGAGTGGCCAGGGTAGTGTTGGTGAAGGAGGGGGAAGGGAGAGCTAGTAGATAGAATGAAAAGACCATGTGGACAGAGGGGACAGCACCTACCAAAGGTGGGGCTAGAAGAGGAGCAAAGACCCAAGTAGGAGGAGAAACCTCGGGCTGATGAGGCCAAGGGAAGGGGATCATATGAACAGGAGGCGCAGGGCTGAGCCTGGGTCACAGATACCTGTAAACATGGGACAGGAGGAAGAGCCAGCAAGAGAGCTCCAGAGGCTGGAAGGAAGCCAGAACAGGTACAGTGCTGAACTCTGGGGAAAGGAAGTGTTTAGGAAGTGGGCAGAGGAGTGGGTAACCTTAGGAACTACTGCTAGGACATGCAAGAAGATGATTAGCATCTTTGAGCAGCTGAGTCACTGGTGTCTGTGACTAGAGAGGTTCCAGTGGAGTGGTGGAGGTAGATAAGAGCAGCAGCAGGAGATGGAAGACCAGGCCTGTTAACACCACTAGGAGCTCAGCTAAAGGGGGAAAGCAGCGTGGGGGTGTTGGAGTGGTGAGAACCAACGGGAGCATTATCAGCATAGTTGTAAGATATAGGGTTCAGGAATGAGAGGAGGGAGCAGAGCACTCATCTATCCACCCCCCAGCAGCCTGTCGCCACACATATGAAATGACACCTGCGGCAGAGCTATGGGGTTTCTCCAGGGACTTTCAGCCACCACTGGGCTGGTGCAGAGTTAGGGAGGTGGTCTTAGCCAACATTGAGCTCTGAAAGGACTAAGGTGGAAGGAGAGCAAAAGGGAGACCAGGGAATGAGGATGGTGATGTAGTTGAATGCCCAGCCAGGAGAGTAGAGTAGGCACCGAGGCAGGTGGCATATGGATTGTAGGTCCCAGGACTTGAAACATTGCTGGAGTTCTAGAACCAGAGAGAACAAACTGGAAGACCAGGAGGGGTGTCTTGGAGTGGAGTGTTTGAAGTCAAAAGTGGAAGGGTGCAAGGACTAGCAAGGAAGGGGCTGGAGTGAGCCCAGGAGTGTGTCAGGGAGAAGGAAAGGCCAGCAGAAGACCCACAGCTCCGGGTACTGGAACCATCTCTTGGCTCTCTAAATGCCCATGAACAAACAACATCTAAGAAGAATGGTGAGATGGTAGGGGGTTGGCTGGGTGATCTGTAAAAAAGTTCAAGGTGTTGGGAGTATGTCTAAGGTTGTTAATTCATTTGTATAATTTCATTTCTTAATTTAAGCCATCATATTATACAGTTAGCAATATCATGACCAGACCTGGAAAGGGGAAGTGGGCAGAATGGATTGGAACATTTCCTGGGAAATTCCATCTGTTTGGTAGTGTGTTAGTTACTTTTTGCTTCGTTATGATGAGATACTTGACATAAAAAAAATTAAATTAAATTTAAAAACCTTAAGAGAAGGGCTGGGAAGATGGCTCAGTAGGTTTGCCACAGAAGTGAAAGGACCTGAGTTCAAATCCTCAAAACCCATATAAAGCTGGGCTCTTATGGCAATCTGAGGAGTGGAGAATCCCCCAAAGCTTACAGACCAGCTAACCTGGTGTACACGATGGCTAACAGGAGAAAAGGAGAGAGACTTGTCTCAAATCAGGTGGAAGGTAAAGATCAACACTTAGGGTTATCCTCTGATGTCTGCACACACGCCATAGCACCCATGTGCCCACACTCACACATGTAAATGTGCACACATACATTCACACATAAACATACATCATACACATACAAACACTAAAGACATTTTTTTTTTAACTTAAGGATTGTTTTTTTACAGTTTCAGAAGTTTTGGTCCATTGTGATGGGGAATGGAGAAGGTATGGTAGAACAGAACAGCTCACATTGTGGCTAACAGGGAGCATAGTGGAGCAGTAACTGAAGGTACCAGGGCAAGATTACAGCCCCCAAGGACACAGACACACAGACAAACACACACACACACACACACACACACACACACACACACACACACACAGACACACACAATCACAGACATACACACACACAGACATACAGAGACACAGACACACAGAGACAGAGACAGATGGATACACACACACACACACACACACATACACATTCACACAGTGGCCCCACATTCCACAGTTCTACCACCTCCCAATAGTCTGTTCAGAATTTGAATCCATCAATAGACTAGACCATTTGTTAGATCAGAGCTCTCATGATCTAATTGCCTCTGGAAATGTCCTCATAGACACACCCAGAGATGCATCTTATCTCCTACATTTCTAAACCCAGTCAAGTTCAAAATCAAAGTTAACTATTAAGGGAAGGAAGGAAAAAGGTAAACAAATGTTGTAGACACCTAGGAACATCCCAAGTTGATGTCACCAGGAATAGGCTCCATGGGGCTGTTTAGGCACTTGGCATGCACTGCCTGCCTGACTTGTGGAAATGGGACCCACAGCAGGACATTCTTGGAAGGTTCATCCAGCTGAAACGGGCTTTTGCAAGGAGAGAGTCCAAGGAAGGCAGGAAGCCTCACCTAATAAGAAACCTTTGGGGATGGTAGAGTTTGTGTGTCTAGAACAGTCATTGGGAGGTACTAGGAATGAAGGGCCTGCTGCTTGTAGAAGCTGAGCCCTGAGAGAGACAGAGACAGAGGAGGGAGGCAGAGAGAGCACACAGGTAGTAGAATGTCCGCAGTGTTGCCCAGCACTTCATCCTGCTGCCTGTTTATAAAGACTTGGTTCACATTTGGATGCTGGAATCTCAGAGACAGGGTAGCCAGGCCTCTGGAGGGGCTTTAAATGGATGTTTGTGGTTTGCTGACTGGGGAAAACCACCACTTCTGACAGTGGGGTCCATTCCTTAAACTTTTTTCATGTTCTGAAGTTTTCTGAGCAGGATTGTAGGCCTGTCAGTATACTCCTGAGGAAGGATGGACTTGCCCTGCCTCCCTTCTCCCCACACCCACAAACGCCTGGGCATAAACTCCAGAGAGACTGTGGTGGTCAACTCTACTCAAGACCAAAATTAGACACATATTCCTCAGACACATCTTTAAAAAACATAATCTCTATTGACACAGTTTTGTGGGAAGTAGTTCTGCTAAAGCACTTTACTTGTTTTTATTTAATCTGATGACTGCTTTAAATGGAATTCCAAACCAAAAAAACACACAAAGAATGTCTCTGT